CGGTTTAACAAAAAACCAAATTCTCGGTTTTCGGTTAAACCGAGACCTGACCAGAAGCTACCGGACACCGACCGACCCCATAGCCCCGGTTAGCCGCAAACCGACCGTGCGGTTTTCGGTTCAGGCACGGTTTAACCGGGGCAACCGAAATAGTGTTGGGCGGTTCGGTTCAACAGCTTAACCGATCAACAACTGAAATAAAATAAAAAATTCAAAAAAATAAAGAAAGGAAATCCTAGCCACACTTTCCTTATCTTCTTCCTCTTCTCTTCTCTCTCTTTGTACGCAGAAACAAAGATTTTTTTTTTTAACTTCCCTTATCTTCTTCCCCTCTCTCTTCTCTCCTCTCTCTTGTACGCAGAATAAAGGAAAAAAAGAAAAACTTCCCTTATCTTCTTCCCCTCTCTCTTCTCTAGGGATGGCAACAAAACCCGAACCCACGGGTACCCATCCGACCCAAACCGGTCAACGCGGGTAAAATTCGTGTTGACGGGTTTTGGGTCGGGTTTGGGTTTAAACCCGTTCACTATTCATTGGGTTGGGTTGGGTTTGGGTTTAGGTAAACCCGGCCCGTGGGTACCCGCCCACTCATATAAATAATTTTTTTGGTATATTTAATATTCTAAACAACTAATCTTATTTATGTTTGTGGAGACATGTCTAATTTTTTCTTTTTAATTGTGTAGAATGAAGTTGATGTTATGGAGTGGAGAGTAAAGAAACTTAATTGAAAGGAAGAAGCTTTCAATTAAACATGTTATTTATGAATAATTTGTGATTTGTTTCAATTTTCTTGAGTTTTCTAAATTGGTGTTGAACAATTTGTATAGTTTATTTGTGATTTGCTTGAATTTTCTAGAATGGTGTTTTATATATGGATAATTTGTATTGAGAGATTGATATTTGGCTTTAATTTTGATAATAACTTGTAATTGTAAATTTTTTACGACAAAACCCGTGGGTACCCATGAACCCGCGGATACCCAACGGGTTGGGTTGGGTTTGAGTTTTTCAAACCCAGTGGGTTTTACCCCGGGTTTTTTTCAAAGATAAACCCATGGGTTTGGGTTTGGGTTTGGCAAAACCCGACCCAACCCGACCCATTGCCATCCCTACTCTTCTCTCCTCTCTCTTATACGCAGAAACAAAAGAAAAAAAGTTAAAACTTTCCTTATCTTCTTCTTCTTCTTCTCTCCTCTCTTTTACGCAGACCAATCTCTTCTTCTTCTCTGGTGTAGGCGGCGGGGCGACAAGGGTGGAGGCGGCGGGGGCGACGTCGACGAAGGCAGTGGCTGGGCGAAGTTGGGTGAAGGCGGAGGAGGTTCGCAGGCGAACTGGGTGGAGTCGGCGTTGAGGCGCGGCGGATCGGGAAGATGGGGGAGGGAAGGGTCGTTGAATTAGGTTATTCGATTTGGGGGTGAAGGATTTTTTGCGGTTTTGGGATGGGGAGAAGGGAATTTTCGGTGAGGGTCGGTTAGCCGGTTAGCCGCGGTTAATTATGTCCGGTTATTCGGCTAGCCGGAGCCCTCTGATACGCATCCGAACACCGACCGAGGTCGGTTTTTCCCAGTTTTCGGTTAGTCGGTTACTGTCGGTTTTCGGTTATAACCGGCAGCTAACCGCTAACCGGCAACCGATTTGCCAGCCCTAGTCATGGCCTGACTCAGGGGGTCCACCCTGAACCCGACCATACCCATCCGGCCCCGCCATTTTCCGAAAACCTTCACAGGCCATCGCGTTCGCCAGCTTCCTCCCCAATCCTTCCTTGCCAGCTTCCTCCTCCTGCATCGTCGGCTCGTTCGACTCTAAGAGGGTGTCGTCGTACCCGCACACCTCGTTCAAGCACACAAGGAACGACGCCCCATTCATCTCCTGGCTCGTAGTCCACCACGACTCCCGGCTTAGATCGTCGAGTTTGTAGCTCGCCCCCAACTTAATTAAGCCGCTCTCGCGGGGCTCTCGTTAGCCGACCTTAGTTCTTGTAGTTAATGTAACATGCAGATGAGAAATCACGGATCTGGCCAGCGAATCTGAAGCTGAAATCGAGGGCATTGAATTGGGCCAAGGAATAAGCTCCACCGATTTTCCTGCTCTAAAACGCAACCACAGAAGATTAGGAATGGATTGTGAGTGGGGATTTTGGGGAAGAAGCAGGTGAAGCAGAGAGGGACGCAAAATGGATTGAGAGTGGGGATTTTGGGAAGAATGAATATGGGGAAGAAGGTGAAGCAGGAATTGATTGGGAGTAGGGATTTTGGGGAAGAAGATGAAGAATAATTATTAGATAAATAGGTTATTTAATTAATTAATTATATAAAAATTCGAAACTAGGGATGATGTAGAGTTCATAATTTTTTTAAGTTTATTTATGCTGACTGGATGGTGACATGGTGGGTTGACCGTTAGTCAACACGTTTGATCGTCTAAGATAACGATCAAAACTCGGGTTTGGCCAATTTCGTAACTTTGATGCATAGTTGAGGCCACAAAGTTATAGATAAAAAATATTGGCCAGGATGTTTAATATGTGAAAAGTTTGGGCTACACAAATATATGATCCCCTTTTTTTTATTACCTAGGAAGCTCAGCCTCACGTATAAGTTTGTGACGACGAGCCTACTAAACCTGGAGGCCACCTGCAATCAATGCGACGCCAATGTGGCTTCGCCCACAACAGCCTTATACCTCTAGGAACACCAACAGGCCTCGCTTGGATTCGAATATGGGATCTGCAAATCGCCATGTCACTACCCAGTCACCTAATATTGATAGAGGGTAGTTATTTTTCGGTCGAAGAATTACTATTTGGCGCCCATAATTTTGAAGTAAATGACTATTTTGCCTCCCTCCACCACTATCAATCACCTGTGACAATTTCCTCCACCGATCCAAAATCTTCGTCGGCTGACCTCAAACCCAATTCCTCTGCAACCAAAACTTTACTTGTGAAGCTTTCCTCCCTATGTCAAGAACCACCGTCAACCACAACCATAGCTATTCCAAAATAACTCCCAGAACTTCCACGCCGTCATCCTTTCATTGTCTTCCCAGCATCATCATCTACCTGTAGTCGCACCATGGTCGTCTTCAGCCAAGCTTCGTACCATCCCTGGCCGTCCGAAGCCAAGCTTCTTACCATCACCGACTATCCGAAACGAGGCTTTGTACCAACGCTTGCCGTCCAAAATGAAGCTTGGTTTCGTACTATCGCCCGCCGTTCAAAAATGAGGCTTCATACTATCGTCGGTTTGTCCGATCGCCGACTTTGAACCATGTATTTAAAAAAAAAATATATTTACCATAATTATAATTAATGGAGTAAATACGAAAGTTAGTTAAAATGTTGTCATTATCATTAATGGAAAAAATGAAGTTAATTAAAATGAACGCACTAATTTGAACTAATGCAACCCTAGATGGTTTGGATTGAATTCAGAATAAGTGCAGCAAGATCAAACCAAAGTTTGAACTACTTCGAACAAGAACAGGGGAAATTTCGATGGGTCTCGATGGTTAATTTCGTGCAATCTCGCACAAGGGAGAAGACTCGAAATAGATAGGTAGATGCTGGCCACGATCAATGTGTCTAATTGATCTATACAAGCTAATCAAACAACCTAGAATCCACTAGGAAGCGCGACACAATCACAAGATGAAGCTTATGAACCAAAACTCAGAGTTTGTACTCAATTGAATGAAATCTAAGTGTTACAATGCAATAGCAGGTCTTTAAATAGAGCTATCTAGGAAAATAAACAACTAAAAGAAGTACTAAACACAAACTAACTTGAAATCAAATCTCAAAACAGAAAATAAAAGTAATCCTAATCCGAGAAGGATTCAGAGTTGCAAAACAGACTGTCAGGGCTCCATACGATATTGTAAGGGTTCGTTCGAAGCCTTAGAGGTGAGCTTTCCTCCATCCAATTCCTTGATGTTGCAGTAGAAAACCTTTACTTTCATGTGGCACTGCCCTCTTAGTTCGACTCTCATCCATCTTCCTCGAATAGGCTTCCAAAGTTGGGTACCTGAACTGGTGCCCATACTTAGCCAAAATCTGGCGGTGTGCTGGTTTTTAGGTAGCAACTTGAGGGCTTTGGGAAATCACCTTATTGACTTGATTTTTATCTGTCAATCCTTCCAACAGATAGATAAACATATGGACTTCACTTCCAAGCATTCTACTTGAATTTCCATCGCGCCAATCGTGAGAAACAGGCTTGCAAAGTAGGTTCCTTGAAACAGAATAAACACTCAACCAAATTTGAGGGTTCTTATTAGTTGGTGAGATTGCTTTTTGACCAAGCAATAAAAACTTGTAGAGTGAACCAATTGAGATCATATCATGAACGGAGATGGACAAACCCTAATTTGAAAACTAATTATGAATATTGCAATTTTAATTGGAAAATTAAGGATGTTAATTGAAATGAGTGCATTAATTTGATAGAAGATGAATCTCGCTAATCGGGAGGGATTTTGGGGTGTCGTCTCTGGCTTCGATTGGGAGAATTTGTGGTCGACGAAGGGCAGGTTTGGCTTCGATTCGGGGGTTTAGTTGGTGGCGGGAATTTGTGGTCAACGTAGACACCCTGTTCCCCCCCCCCCCCCCCCCCAATTATGGCGACCAATTCTCCAATTTTCGGACAATTTGTTTTTTTTTTCCCAGTTTCGGCCGAGCTTCAGTTCTAAAATCTAAGGGGAAAAATTGTAATTCTGATTAAAAGTGTCGGTGACAAATAGTAATTTATCGGGCGACAAATCGAAATTTAGATATTGATAACGTGGATATCACGTTGGTATAAAAAATATCTTCCAAAATACGAAGAAAATGGACCAAAAAAGACAAAGTGACTTGTTGATCAAAATTCCAAACCTTAAAATTAGTCTCCCCTTGCAAAATCCCTCCTCTGCCATAATCAGCCATGGGCTTGAAACACAATAGCTAGAGACCCACTAACATTTCATCATCCTCATCTCATCACCACAATCCAATCCCCATGAAATTCTTCAAATTCCTCCCTTGCTCAGACACTCTCTTAACTTCCCTGTTCCTGTTCCTTTCCCCACTCACCAAATTTCACACACCCTCCACAACCCAACCATTCTCAAGCGACCTCCACGACACAAACTTTTCCCGGAACAAGTTCTATTTCAGCCCCACATCCGACAAGCTCAATCTCTTCGTCTTCTCTAGAACCTGGCCGATTGGTGCCAATCCAGGCGGAATGGAGCGCTACATCACCAAACTCTACCATTCCCTCGTCGACAAGGGCCATGAGATCCATTTATTCACTACATCCATAATGGCAACCTTCACGTTTACTTCGGCGCCAACGACCACAGATCCGTCAATTTCTCCCTAACACAGGGGAACCGGGAAGGAAGCGCGACACTGGCGAGATGGAGAATGAGGAGAGGTGAACACAGGCAACGGGGCAGGGGAGGGGAATTGGTAGCGACGGAGAAAAGGGAGTGGAATCAGTGAGTATTGACGATTGGAGAAAAAGCTTCGCCACAGTCGGCCGTCGCTGCAATTTCACTGGCGGTTTAGTTATGGTATAGTTATGGTCAAGATATTAGAGATCGAAAAAATTGGTCAGAATGTTAAATATGTGAAAAGTTCAGTCCAGACAAATATATTAACCCTTTGTTTTCCGGTATATTTTGGCTAATACCACTACAACACTCATACTATAAAAAATGTCATTTGTGTTCTATTTTTTTTCAATATGACAATTCTAGCACGACTTACATTTCTATCCTAATGCCTTACATTAAATGTTAGTAATAACAGTTGATCAAACGGAAGTCAATTGTTGTTGGCTTTCACTAACTTGTCATCCGTCATTGACACATAAGATCTTTCAAATTTAAAATTAAATTAATTATAAAATAATAATGATAAAAAATTATGAAAATAAAAATCTAATCTCGATGGGATCGTTGAACTGCATCTAAACTCGATGGAAGCACTAATTCTCCAACACCTAACGGAGATTTGACCACGAGTTTTAGAGATAGGATACCTCTCGAGACAGAGCCGAGAAGAAGCAAGATCTATTAAATGATATTAAAAGATAACCCAAGAGAGCAAGAGATGAAGGGAAGAGGTTGGCAACGAGAAGGGTTCGGTAGTGGGTGACAAGCAACAGGAAAAAGATGGGACAGGAAAGTCACGACCGAGAGAATTCCATCTAAGACAGTACTAACTCTCATTCATAACCCTAATCAAGAGTCACAACGACCACCTCCCTTTGTCATGGTCATGACTTCTTCGATTCCAAATCGTGAGACGGAGGCTCGAAGGTAGAACCACTTCTCAAAGTCACAAACGTGGCTTCCATCAATGTAAGGACCATGACAACCCCTTAAAATTGCTAAGTGAAATGGTGCATGTTGGAAGTCACATCCAGCAATACAGTCAAAATCGGGATTTTGATCGTAAAATCGTAGGATTTTAGGATTTTACTTAGGGATTCCGTTCCTGATTTTACTATAAAATTGGTGGACCTTAAAATCGTTCAAAATCGGGATTAAAATCGTTAAAATCTTTAAATCGTACCAAAATCGGGATTTTGATCCTATGTGAACAAAATATGCGGTTTGAGACAATTCAAAAGAAGCAAAACGGTTTCGGCGGAAAGCCCAATGACGGGGATCTTCTCAGATATTTTTTCAATTAAAAGAACATTTGAAAAGGAAAAAAAATCAAATTAGGGTTCGGTCAACCACTTTCAATTCCCCTTGTTTAACTCATCAGTAAAACCGTTGTAATAATATTATAAATACGTAAGAATTAACATCATTATTAATAAATTAATTGATTAATGAATATATTTGTACCAAATCAATGACATTAATTATTTTATTGGAGTTCACTTATTCTTAGTTTTAAATCATGTTTAGTAGATGATGTCGGAATACTACTTTGAGTTAAACTACCTAAACACAACATGAAAACAAGAGTCTAACCCCATGAGCTCTATCCCTTTCTCATAATAAATATTTAGAGTTACACATTAAATAACAATTAAAATGATGATTTTGGAACATTAATCTTGAAAATTATCAGTTTAGATGTTATATGTCTTTGTCTTATTAATAATTTATCTTATTAATATTATTATATGTTAATTTCTATATGGTACTTAAAACCCTACGATTCTACGATTCAATTTTACGATTTCGATTTTACCCCAGTTTTCGATTTTAGGTAAAATCCCGATTTTGACTGCTTTGACATCCAAAAATCCCAAAGTTAAGGTCTTGACTTCAACAGTGACTTAGACTCTATTTTAGGTATAAATAGATTGTCTGCGATTTCTGATTTAGAGATGGATTTTGGACTCCCAACACCTGATGGACGAAGTCTAGAGAGATAGTGTGTTATTGGAGAGTTCTTGGAGCCATTTTCTGCGGTTTCTTCACAATTGGAGCTCGAGGAACAAGCTCAAAAGAGGAAACTGAATGTCATAAGAATGTTCTTATCACCATGAAGTCATTCATCTTCTCCCTTATTTTTATTTCTCTCTCTATGGAGTAAATTTCTTTTCACTTGGATACGACGAACCCTAGTTATGTTTTGTTGCATTGATGATTGTATGAATACTCTTACTTGTTAAACCTGAGTTCATATCCAATCTATGCATGTTTATTGAATCAATTTTGCCTTCATAAAGTATTATTGATTTCAACTTTGACTTAGAAGAGATCATATCTTATTAGGTTGATAGAGCAACATGTTTGGAAGTAGGGGATGCATTATACGAGAGTGAGTCGGTCAATTACTTTGTATTTGGTGAGAATTTAACCAATAGAGGGAGGCTAGTGTGAATTGCCTTGATCGGTTGTCTTAGTTGAGGATAGTGTCCCTCTAAGCAAATGACTCAAGAGGGCCTTGATTGCTTTAATCGAGATTCAGGCTTGTTAAGGACTCTCTTCATCATGAATGAAGAATTAAAGAAGTTTTACAATCATTAACCCAGCTAGTGACTGTGGGGAATCACTACCTGAGTGATTCTCCAACCTTTTAATTAGATAGTTTAACCCTTTCGTAGTTTGTTAGAGTTGTTTTAACTGTTTATAGTAATCGGTCGCTACAAACTGCACTCCTAACTAAGGCCAAGTAAAACCAATGAAAGGGGTTGCAGTGTAGTGACACAAGCAATAAAATATCTAATCCACGGGTCTCTAGATTTACTGTTACTCAACTTCAGTTTATTATTTAGCAATTTGGGTTCGGGTAAGAGAATTACAACTACTCTAAAAATTACATAAAAGGTCAGACTAATTACAAATTCGAAACTCACTCATGTTCATTAGCCACTGGCCGGATTAATGATTCATGACGCTAAAAATTATTTCACTCTTCATTCATAATGTGAAAAGTCATTAACAAGCCTTCAATCTTGATTAAAGCAAACAAGGACCTGTCTAATAGACTGCTTGGAGGGCTTATCCTCAACGAAGACTGAATACCAAGGCAATTCAGAACTAGACTCCTCCTATTGAGCAAGGATGTCACTCAATACAAAGCAATGAATTGACTCGTTCTTGTGTAATCAATCCCCTATTTCCCATCTATGGTGCTCTATTGACCTAATTAAGTTTTACCTCCCATAGAATCAAAGCAGAATTAGTAATCTCAATTAAAGTATAATTGAACCATAAACATGCACAAATTGAATATGAACTAGAGTTAGACAAGAAATAGTACTCATACAATCTTCCAATCAAACAAACATAGCTTGAGTTCCTCAACCTAGGTGAAGGGAAGTTACTCCATAAAGATATAAGGAAGTATAAATGAGAAGATGAAAAACTTCATTGTGGTCATGAGATTCTTCTTTACACTCCTAAACTTGATTCTTGGACTCCAATGGCGAAGAAATCCTCCAAAATAGCTCTATAAATGTTCCAAAGTCGCTTTTCTCTAGATTTCATCCCTTGTGTGTATGGGTTCCAAAACCCCAGCTCCTTCTTCAAAATTCACAAAACACCCATTTATACCTGCAACAGAGTCAATGTTACGGCCTAATGTCATGACTGTGTTATTGAGAAGTGTTTCTACTTCCCAGCCTCAATGTCATAGTATGGACCATGACTTTTTACCAAACGTCATCCCTAGCCCATAACTTTTGGTATGCCTCCACTTTGTCCCTTTTCGATCTCCAAACGTCTTGAAAATAACTCCTAAACTTCCTCCAAACGTCTTGAAAATAGCTCCTAAAATCCCTCCACATGTTATGACCTGAAATAGGGCCAAAAGAACACAATCTAGCGTAACATGAGCAAATAATTAGGCCTTTCCAAGACAAATGGTCAAGAAACAATCAAGAGACAAGGGGAAAACAAGTATACTAAAGCACATATCAAACTCCCCCACATTTGACCATTTTATTGTCTCTAAGCAAACCATACTGATAGTAGTGAAACTTACTATAACTTCATGGCATCATGCGACTTTTGATCGTCGGTAGTGGGTAACTAGCAACTTATGAAATCAATTAGTGACAGGAGAATTCCCAAGCATCTCAGCGAGGACACTAGCCTCACATTGGTAGAATTTTGAATAATAGATATAGAATAGACAACTTGTGAATGATGACACTCTAAAAATCGTGAAAAACTCTGGACTTGTTTTTGTGCTCTTTCTTCAAAGGTTCTAACTGTCGAGCTTTTTAGTATTTCTCATTTCTCTTCCGCCTTCTTTATTTTTTTTTCAAAGCTTAAAGGATCTTGCATGATTTACTATCTCGCGACCAGAGCAAAAGTGACAATCACTTCTATTTCAGGCCCATGCGAAGAAGCGGTGTAGAGAGGTTTGTCAGAAGCTCTATATGTGCTCTCTGAACACAATTTACAAAGATTGACTCCTATCCTTAGGGGAGACCTGTGGCGTTCGACCTAAGTTTTTGATAAGTTTCCGCAACATGTGAGATGTTTGTCAACTAAGGTCTCATGGCTTGATGAGAAGAAACATTCTCTTCTCTATGAAGTCCGTGAGGAGGACCGGTGTAAGTAAGGGTACCAAAAAATTTATATGTACATCCGAGACACAATTCTCAAAGCACACTCTGATTCTTAAGACGAGCCTTATGCAATTTTCATAAGTATATTTACGGGTTTCTACATCACGTGAGACGTTCTTTACATTACTCATTCCTTAAGTGAAGTTCAGAGCACTTTCTCAAAAAACATTTCTTAGTTCGAAAAAAGTGTGAGTTTCGACACTGCACAAATTAAAGGTTATAGAAATACTAATCAACATGTCAACAGAAACATTGTGAAATGTAAAGAAGACCTCTCATGTACCAATATCCACCATAGCGCTACAACATCCTCCTTAGGTCATACCATCATA